AGTTGCGTCTGGAAAGAGAGAGAGAGAGAGAGAGAGAGAGAGAGAGAGAGAGAAAGAGAGCAGTAAGGCATTCAATAAAGAGGTGCTGAAACGGCCCACTTTATTCTGTAGATTTGCTGCCATTAAATTCCCCTCTAACTTGTTACAAGTAACTATGGGATTCTTAACTCCTTCCTTCTGAGCTCTGGATGCAAAGTAACCTCCTTGGGCCAAACAATTCCCGAGGGTGGGACGGACCGCCGTGTGTGGCCTTTCTGGAGGCCTTTCGATCAGAAGACGCTGGTTTTGATGGTTTCTGGAAAACCGATTAGCATCTCCTGTGAACTTGGGGCTTGGGGAGAAGGAGACGTACAGCTGTGAAGAGTTGTGTTTTGCCCTGTCTTCGGTTCCCACTGGCCCGTGGCTGAAGAGCCCGGAGGATGAGCGACGAAGCCGGGGGAACGCCGAACAAGCAGAGTCCGGATGAAAACCCGGAAGCGGGTCAGACAAATAGTCATAATTCTCCACGGTAGCAGAAGGGCTGTAAAAACAGAGTTCGTCCTTTCCTCTGTTGTCTCTTCTAAACTCAGGAGGGTTTATGTCTCTTCTGAAACCCCCACCACATTGTTGAAGGAAGTCATAGAGCTCTCCCTTCCTCCACCACAACACCTGTGTGTGTGTGTGTGTGTGTGTGTGTGTGAGAGAGAGAGAGAGAGAAAGACAAATTGCATAACAGCTAAGTACAATATCCTGCTTTTCCTGCCAGTTCGGGCTTTCATTTTCTTGATCAACAGAATGGCAGCTTTGGAAATATGCCGTCGCCCTCCAACGATAATGTAAACAGATTCACTCCTCAAATTCACGAATAGGTAGCAAAATGTGTCGTGTGGTTTCTAAGCACATCCCAATTCTCGGATGGGGATGTCATGGGTTAAACCTGTCACCTTCATACGAAGCAGGCATGATCACCAAGCACTGGCCCATCCCTATAGAAAGCAATCATCCTTTCTTTGTAATCAGGAGCAGCATGGGTATGCTTGTCGTCGCCACATGCCGTCAAGTTGTATCTGACCTATGGAGACCCCAGGAATGAGTGACCTCCGAAAGCAACGGGCCATCGACAATGCTGCTCAGCTCTTGCAAACTCAAGCCTGTAGCTTCTCTTATGGAGTCCATCCGTCTCACATTTCGACTTCCTCTTTTCCTGCAGCCTACAACTTTGCCTAACATTATTGTCTTCTCCAGCAAATCTTGTCTTCTCACGATGTCCAGAATATATATATTTTAGAAACAGAACAGAAATAATTCCACCAGTATAATGCAGGAGGAAATACAATAGTATGTGGTTCAAGAACATCTGAATTTGGATTCTTTATCAGTCAATCAATCCTACCCATCTGACTACCATGGCAACCCTGGGCAGTTCACAACACAATAAAACAGACAAAAGCACAAAGCATAATACCAAGATTAAAATTAAAACGAAATTAAGCATGTCAATCCAGTATCTCTTATTAAACTTCCCAGGACTCGCCACTACAGTTTGTAAAATACTCCGTTGAGACCATAGTTTTGCTGAAATTCAACAAAGCACTCTCTTGATGCAAAATGAAATAAATATACGAAGATTGCAATATTTCTAATACTCTATAGGATATCAGCGCATCTAGGACTGCTGTCTGCACATACACATTACACGCATCTTGGTTACCCACAGATTTTATATTTGCTGATGATATATTGGCTGAGCATAGCCATAAATGTTTTCAATAGTCCTCGGGAAAGCTAGCCATTCAGGCTGGGCGCGGAGGGGGGGGTGGGGGTGGGATCTGCACCTTCTGCGCACGGCTTGAATGGATTTCCCATCTGGTCTTCCATTTTCCATGAAAATCCATCTGGGCTAGTCCATAACCATGTCAAGAATTAGCTTCTCTCAACAATCCCATTGTGAAACGTCGGGGTTTTCTAATGCATGTTAACATTTATTAAGTGTTAGGCCAGTGTAAAGTCTCTGTGCATTTATTTCCCTCTACTTCTCCCACTACCACCACCTTCTGCTCGACCCTCAAAAACAAGAGCCTTGATGAAAATGAAGCAGGTTGGGACTGGTGGGCGATGCCTTTTGCCTTAATTTTTTGGACTACAACTCCCATCTGGCACATGCCGGGCAGAGAAGTCTGGAACGTGTAGTCCCCCCAAGTCCGAAAGGAACTTTTCCCTATTGGTGATCCCATGCCCAACACTTCCACCAGGACCGCATTTTTTATAAATACGGACAATCAAACGTGCTAAGAAAATAATATTGTTCTAAATGGAGTGGGTGACGATCATAATTAGGTCTTACCTTCCCAGGATAAGCAAGTAAAGGAAGCTCAGGGCGAATGAAGGCGAAGCAATGTTTAAAAGTTACAGAACAGTGGGGAAATAGAACTGAAGGCATTATACATTCCAGAACGAGAATATTCTGCAAATACAAAGGGCTTTTTGGAAGTATTCTAATTACCACCTGATGTTCTCTTGAATCTGGGACCCAAGGCAGCTTATAAAATGGTGCATCCTTTAAAAACACAATAAAAACTCAATATTAAAATACAAGGAAACATTTTGGCCAGTATTCCACTGTGGAAAACCGGAATAGAAGGACATCATGGTCGAACACGAGGTTGGACAAATATGAATGGAGCTTGGAATGGTACATTTTTTAAAAAGGAACTTGTTTTGTTACTCATTACTTCCTGCCAACTAGCTTGGTATTGTTCCTTCCATCAAGTAAGTAATTTCCAGGTATGGGAACTCGAGTCGCACCAGACTCACGATCAAGTTGGACTCAAGTCACACCGGTGACTCCCCCCCCCATTACACCTACTTGACTTGTGACTCAGAACCCACCACAACTGTGTTTTTTTCCTGGGGGGGGTGTAAAGCTTGCTTTTAATAGAGACTCAGACTTGGGTCTTGAAACTCAAGACTTGGTACCAAAGACTCGAACTCGGACCTGGAACGTGGACCCAGGAGCTTGCCAACATCCCTAGTAATTTGTTGCCTTGAGCTTTATTAACATTTCTGTTACCAACTAACCAGAAAAATGCAAGGAAATACTCTCCGGTTCTCTCTAGCTGCCAATTCTGACATTGCACTTTGAAAATAATAAAAATTAAAGTGGTGAAACCAAAGAATATCTCCCGTGCTACGTAGTATTGACAAGAAAACGGCACAAACCCTCAAAAATTCGACTCAGAATGCTTCTTTGAAGTGATACTAAAAATAACAGCTTAAAAGTAAATAGGTGTTGTTACATTTAAATAACTATGTAATGGAAGTTATGGATCTCATGGAAGTAATTAGTCACAAGGGATAGACACTTGTAATTAATTAATGTTGTTTAACAAGCAAAACTCTATACATTAATGTTTAGATTAACCAGTGACCTAAAAAAGTAATGCTGTGGCTAGTAGTTCTTGCTTGCTAACCAAAAGTAACTAATTCTAGGCAACTACATTAATTGTAACTAGTTACTTCCAGGGTCTGTGCTGTTTTTCATGCAAGCACTACTATTTTTCTTTCTTTCTTTGCAAATCAGACCTGCTCTGTGTCATTCGTTGGGCAAATTCTGTCCCACCCCACCCCGTTTTTTTCCTACCTTCTACGCATTACTGTTTGGGTGTTTCGGCCTGAGCTGTCTCCGCGCCAAGCCTCCCCCAGCTGCCTGCGCCACCTAAACTGGATGCTTGTATATCCTTCACAAGGCATTACTTTTACGGTGTGACTATAAAGAGCACACAGCGCACGGTTGAGTCTGACAGAATGTACATCACACCATGGCGAGGTTTGCTATTACTGGCTTGGAGGCTGGGTCTGGCCGCGAGCTGTTTATGGGGCTCTTCTCCGCCCTTCGCCTCCCCTATTCATCCCCTCTTGTGCACATGTGTGAGAACTGTGAGGTGTGGGGAACTTTTTATATATATATACATATATATTTAATATCTACGTTTCCACTTTGCAGGTCATATACCACTGGAACAAATTGATCCTGAAGTCTCGTAGGGTTTGGTTTCCCTTGACCTCAGGAAGCAACTGGCCACCCACTTAACCAGGCCACAGAAAAGGGAACATAAATGCATCAGGGAAGGAGAAGGCATTGCTTTCCACACACCGTGAAATGCTGGGTTGTAGGACCATTAAGCAGACAATCATGGTCATTGCTGGGTGTCTCAGGCCGGTATCCCGTTGCAGAAACGCAACGCAACGCAGAAGAGCAGTGGTAAAAGCATTAGAAAATGGGGTTTTGGGATATTTTTTTTGGATTACAAATCCCA